GTCCTGGAACTCACTAAGTAGACCAGGCTGGCCTTGAACTCACAGAGATCTGCCTGCCTCTGCCTTCTAAGTGCTGGGATTAAAGGCGTGTGCCACCACATCCGGCAATAAATAAAATTTAAAAAAAATTATAAACAAATATAAAAACACTGGGCTAGGGAGATATCTAACTAGTCAGTAAAATGCTTTCCTTGCAAGCACAAGCACCTGTGTTCCAGTCACAGAACCCACACACAAAAAAACAGGCATGGTGGCATACATTTATAATCGCAGTGCTAGGGGTGGGGATGGGGGCTCTGGAGAGATGGTCCAGTGGTTAGGAGAACTGGCTGCTCTCGCAGAGGACCAGGTTCAATTCCCAGCATCCACATAGAGACTAACATCTGTCCGTAATTCCAGTTCCAGGGGAACCTGACATCCTCTTCTGACACATGGCCATTGCAGGGCATAGGTCCACTTATATGCATATAGGAAATACACTCATACACATAAAAATAAAAACTAATAAATAAAATATTTAAAAATTAACCCCAGTGCTGGGGAGGAGAAGGCAAGAAGACTCCTGGGGGTCACTGGCAGTCAGTCTTCTCTACTTGACAAGTTCCAGCCAAGTGGGCTAAAAAAAAGTGGATGGCACCTGAGTAAAGCGATCTAAGGTTGTCCTCTGGCCTCCACATGCAAACATGTGCCTCCGTGTCCACAGAAGTCACGGGGGAATCTTCCATCAAATGTAACATAATCTTGAACAAGAAGCAGCTAATATTTTCAATTTAATGTATATGCACTTACCTTCAGTAACTTGATTTCTCGCATAGCAATTTTTTTAACCATTTTGTCATCATCATTTTCTAAGAACTTCTTAATGGCCACAATCCTTCCACTATCTTTGTTCCTACATTTCATCACCATTCCATAACTCCCTTCTCCAACCAATCCAAGGTTCTCATATTTTTCCATTTTAATTTAAAACCAGAAGGAATTTTTTTGTTGCTGTGGAAACAAAAATGTCGGGTTAACAAAGAAAAAGAAGTAGCTCTTGGTTTGGCATACCAATGATAAAAATAGCTAGAATCTATAGGCTGTATCACTTCAAACATTTTGTTGGTTGGTCTGTGGAGACGGGGTCTCCCTGTAGCCCCCAGTTGGCCTGGAACTCACTGTGTAGACCGTGCTGGCCTCAATCTCATAGAGATACTGCCTGAAACCACACCCAGTCCAAACATTTTGTAATTGGCCTCCTAGGTATTTGAAAATGCAAAGTAAACAGAATAAAAATTACCCTAAGCACATCTATGGTGTTCTGAAGTATTATCACAAGCTAGTATACAAGTGAATTACTCCAATTTATTTTCCTAACCAACTAACTGCACATTTGAAAACACCACATTGAGAACACTTGCTTGTTCAAGTGGCGCTCCCCCCCATACCTTAAAAATATCATGGCGTAGAACACTCCTTGTTTCCTTAAACAGTTACTCATAAATTACGTATTTTCTTCTCTTCTATTCTTGAATCTACGGGTATCAGATAGTATATAAAAAGGAAGCCTGGCATGTTGGCACTATGGTATTTCGGGATCTGTGCCATACAAACATATTGTTCTAATACCAACAATTTAGATAAAATACTTGAATACTGCTGTTCTTTTATATAAAAACAGATTAAAATCTTTCACAGATAAAAGAATGAGGTTACAGAGCTTTTAAAGTATTATACTTACTGTTTCTTCCAAATCTTTCACATGTAAAGAGCCAAGTGTTTTCAACTTGGAAACAAATTGGAGGTGAAATGCATCTCGCTAGTAGATCTAAAAGATGCTGACTAGCAAACTAGCAACCCCAGTGTTGCGATTTCTTCTGCGGACACAGTTACAGGTCCTTCGTGAATCAGGCAGGCAGGCCCACTGGCCTCTGCCTTCCGCAAGATCAAGCTTCCGAGGACCACCGGTCGCATCCTGCCGTCGTCAAGGCAACGACCACATTCTGTCCCCAGCCATAGGCACAATCTCCAGAGAGAGGTAAGGCCCGAGTCTGAATGCGTCCTCGGCAGGCACCAACCCCAGCACCTGTCAAGGCCAGGACCTGCAGAGAAAGCAGCTGAGGAAGAGGGCACCGCCTGCCCGCGGACGGCGCGCCTTCCCTTTACTCCAGGAAACAGCTCCACTCCAACTCGCCAGGGGCCAAGGCGTAAGCCACCCAGGAGCAAGGGGGCGGTTCCCACCCACCCCGGCCCGCCCTGCGTGCGCCGGAGCCTCCCTTGTTCTGATTGGTTGGGCCCTGTCGTCAGGCGGTATGATTGGCCCAGCGCCAGCTCGCCCCGCCTCCTCATCTGGGGCTCACTAACGAGCAGTTGCCAGTGTCTGCACTTGGCTTGGGTCTAAATTAGGAGGCACGTTCTGCCAGCGCCGAAGACCTCGGCTCTCCCGGAAGCGCAGGTGACTCTGGCCACGCGGAGGGTGAAGGTGGCAGTTAGGCGGGATTGAGGAGACCGAGCGAGGGGCGCGCGAGGTTTCCCAGCCTGCGCCGCCGGGCGGGGCACGGACATCCACCCCGGGAAGTTCCGCTCAGCTGCGATTCCTTGCTTCCTTTTCGTTCCCGGCGGTGGGGGCGGGGGGGACACCAACCTCGCAGGCAGATGATTGGAACTGCCTAGAAGGTTGATTAGTTGAAGCAGGTGAAATAAGGTAGCTGTTGACGGGCCTGACGTTGAGTAGGGAACTTGAGGAGAGAAGCCTGGTAGGGAAAGAAAGATTTGGGGTGGAGATCATAGGGGAAGAGAAGGCAAGAATAAGAGGAGGGGCTGTAGTGGGTGTGCACGGCATCGTGGTGGGGTAAGACTGGAGCTTAAAACTTGCCTTACAGAAGATCCATGATAGGCTGACCTCGGACAAGAAACGGCAATGGAGTCTCCCTCGTTTTGTTTTTAGAGGAATGAGACTGTTAAGGCCAGTAATTTTCACTTTTATTCCCAGTAGCCACAAAAGGTGTATTTGGTTTCTAAAATATCGTGCACCAGAAGAAGAGGGTCCGTAGATAGCAGGCATGAATATCCTACCCAGTATTACGGTATCGTTCTTGTATACTATAGTGTAAAAAAAAAAAAAAACCGCAACAAACCATTGTTTTTATAATCTATTATTTGGTTATGCATTAATCTTTTTGTAGCCCCAGGTTGGCCTCGAACTCAGATATCGCCTGCCAGAGAGTGCTGGGATTAAAGGCCTACGCCACCATGCCTGGCCTTGGTTCTGCATTAATCTTGCAGTGCTCAATTTTCTTGACCAAACTGGCTAAAATTTAGTTCCTGAACCTCCAGTATTGGTGATCATATCTGGAACCTGAGAAGTAGCGTTTTTGGTCAACCCAAGTGGATTCATAATGTAGCAATGAGTTGTGACCAAGTTGAAGGAAAGAAGGTATGTCCCAGTTCTCTCTAGAGTGTAACAAAAATCACATGAATGTTTAGGCTTGTTGGTCTCAAAGTATATAAATACTGCAAACGTTTTAGTTTTACTTTTACAACTTGACATTAGTATTTAAACCTACATTTTAAGGACCCTCCATGAGGCTCTAGAATTTAAATGGCCCATTGTTATTCATCCCCAGGAAACTGAAAGGATAAGGCAGAAAATACTGAACTTGGTGATGTTTGAGAAAACAATGTAAAGGAGACAGTGAGTATTCAAGAATTACACATGCCAGGCATTATGGTCACACATTTAAACCCAGCACTCAGGAGAGAGTGGCAGACAGATCTCTGAGTTCAAGGCTAGTCTGGTCTACATATCCAGTTCCAGGCCATCCAGTACTACATACTGAAACCCTGTCTCAAATAAACTACAAAAAAGAATATGTCCCTTAGGGGTTTGGGAGTAGCTCAATGATAGAGTGCTTGCCTAGCAAGCATGAAGCCTTGGGTTCCATCTCCAACACTATTAAAAAAGGCATGATGACAAACACCTGTAGCTCCTGCACTGAGGAGGGGGAGGCAGAAGGAACAGAATTCCAAAGTTATTCTTGGTTACTATTGAATTCAAGGCCAACCTGAGCTACATGAGATACTATCTAAAAAAAGAAAGAAAATTACACATCCTGGGATAGCCACTCAATAGGTAATTGAAGAAATAAAGGTATGTACAAGCAGGATTGTGTTTTTATTTCATCTTAAAATGGTGAAATATTAGTAAACAGTAGAGACTTTAAGGAGGCAACTTAGACTTGAAGAATTTGGGAGAAAGAGAAACGTATAAAACAAGACACATTCACTAGAGCTTAATAAATTTCATTTTTCTATTATGTACTGGTGAGCTGGGCATGGTGGTGACAGGAGATCTCTGAGTTGGAGGCCAGAAACATAGGGAGCTCTAGGCTAGCCAGGACTACATAATGAGACCCCTTCTCAAAAAACAAACCACAAAAAAAAAAAAATTATTGAGACTGAGGCTCAAGGATTTATAAGCATAAACTTCTTGAAATGCTAATGGCAACTGAACTACCATAGTACAAATTTACTGTGATGCAACTGGCCCAACTTCATACAATTTGGCAAGCTCAGAGGCAAGAGTGGAAAAAATAGATGGTATGTAGTACAAGATTAAATAAAGGGGGTAAGGAATCAAGGATGCTGGAAAAAACACCCTGGAATAGCTTGTCATGGGATCCAACTAGACAAAAGAGAAATTGTAATGGTTAGCTAATAACTTGAGAATAGAAAAGTAGAGGGAAGGGCAGTGATCTTGGGCATGATGCAGTAAGTTGAAAAGGACCAAAACCAGAGAAGAAAAAAATCAGAAAAAGCAGTTTGTGAGGCTGGAGAGATGACTCAGCAGTTAAGAACACTGGTTGTTCTTGCAGAAGGCCTGGGGTTCAAATCCCAGCACCCACATGGCAGCTAACAACTGTTTAACTTCAGTCCCAGGGGATCTGACAGCCTCTTCTGACCTCGGGCATTGCACGACACGGGTGCACTTTCCTACATGCCGGCTATACACACATACACATAAAATAAAAATAATTTTTTTTTTTAAAAAAAAAAGCAGTTTGTGAGTTGTCTTGGACAACACAAGATGATCCCAAGTGTGAAAATTTGGGGGTGAGAATATACCTCAGTGGCAAAGCCCTTGCCCAGCACACAAGGTCCTGCACTCTAAATAATAACAGATGAAATGTATGGTGCTTTCTTTGGGTAGTTGAAATTAAGCAGAAAATGTGGTTTTTAGTTCAAGAAAGGCGATCAGAGCAAGAAAAAAACAGGCATTAACTTGAACTACTCAACTGAGACTACAGCAGAAGAGCTTGGGAGCATTATATAACCTGAGTAATGAAAATGTCCTTTTAAAAAAAATCTAGACTGGGTATGGTGGCACACACCTTTGATCCCAGCACTTGAGAGGCATGATCTCTGTGAGCTCAAGGCCAGTCTGGTCTACACAGTGAGTTCCAAGCCAGCTGGGGCTACAGGGAGACCCTGTCTCAAAAAGACCAAAAAAAAAAATCTACAGGGGTGGGTGCTGGAGAGATGGCTCAGTAGTTAACAGCACTGGCTACTTCCCTCCATAACTCCCTCTTTTGACCTCTGCAGGCATTGCATGGCCCAAGTGCACTACACAGCAGCTTAATCTCTTGTGAATTTGAAGACCCTAACTCAAAAAAAGGGAAAAAATAAGCCAGACACAAAATGCCACCCATTATGATTCCATTTTTAAAAATTATTTTATGTGTATGAGTATCTTGCAAGCTTGTATGTAAGTGCATCTGTGTTGTGCAATGCCCTGGGAGGTCAGAAGAGGGCATCAGATCCCCTGGAACTGGAGTTACAGGACAGTTGTTAGCCACCATGTGAATGTTGGGAACCAAACCCAGGTTTTCTGCAAGAGCAGCCACTGAACGATCTCTCCAGCCCCAGTGATTCTGTTTTCTAAGAAGTGTCCAGCACTGGCAAATCCACAGAAACAGAATTAGTGTTTGCCATAGGCTAGAAACATATAGGATTGAGAGATGACTACTAATGGGCACAGAGCTTTTCTTTTTTTTCTTTTGATCTTTTTGAGACAGGGTCTCTCTGTAGTCCCAGCTGGCCTGGAACTCACTATGTAGACCAGGCTGGCCTCGAACTCAGAGGTCCACCTGCCTCTGCCTCCTGAGTGCTGGGACTAAAGACATGCACCACCATGCCTTTAAGAGTGATGAAGATATTCTATAATAGTAGTGATGGTTATAAAACCTTGTGAAATGTACTAATAACTACCGAATTGTACACTTTTAACAAGATAACTAGAGGCCAGTGAGATGGGTATGTAAAGGTGCTTGTCACCATGCCTGAAGACCCGAGTTTGATTCCTGGGACCCACATGATAGGAGAAATTTACTTCCCTAAGTTGTTCTGACTGCATGCATACCGTGTGCAACACACACACAAGGAATTTTAAGGTGACTATTTGGTATGTAAATTCTCAATATAAAAGTCTATAGGAAGTTAGGAAACACCCAGCCTCCCGGAAAGAGGTTTCTGGTCAATTTATAAATTAAGCTTACAGTGGACCCATTCTTTCCCTCATATTAGGAATCATTTCTATTAAATTACATCATAACTGCAGTGCATGACTTTTATCCCAGCACTTGGGAGGTAGAGGCAATCAGGTGATCTCAGAGTTGCCAGGGCTACAAAGTGAGACCCTGTCTCAAAAAAGCCTGGTGTGGTGGCTCATGCCTTTAATCCCAGCAAGCACTCAAGAGGCAGAGGCAGGTGGATCTGTGAAAATGGAGGCTGGGACATGGCAGCTAACAACTGTCCCTAACTCCAGTTCCAGGGGATCCGACAGCCTCTTCCATCCTCCGCGGGCATTGCACAACACGGGTACACTTACCTACATGCAGGCAATACATGCATACACACAAAATAAAAATAATAGATAAAAAAATAAAAGAAAATGGAGGCTGGGGCTAGAGAAATGGCTCAGCAGTTAAGAGCACTAGAATAGGATCAGGGTTTGGTTCCCAGCACCCACAAAGGTCTCTAACTCCAGTTCCAGGGGATCTAATGTCCTCTTCTGGTTTCTGTAGGCATTGTATTGCATACATGCAGGCAGAATACTCAAAACACATTTAAAAGAAAATGGAGGCCAAGGTGTAACGTGAGCAAGGCTTTGAACCCCAACATCATGCAGCACTCAAAGGCAGAGGCAGGTGGATCTTGGCCTCCATAACAAATTCCAGACCAGCTTTGGCTACAGGGAGACCATTTCAAAAACATAAAAAAGCCTTTAAAGTGTCTTTAATGTAAAGACATTTGCCATGGAAAAGTTGATTCTGTTAACCTAGTTATTTAATGACTTCACTAAATTATAAAGATATTAGTATACATAGATTTGGAAACCTAAAGTATTATTATACCACTTATTTTGCCAAGTTCAACATCTCACATTTTGCTCTGCAG